ACGGTGCTTTCCTCTATGCTGGGTGGTTTTCAGGAGGTTCAACAAACCAAAAAAAGCAGAAGCTGGAGCCGGGTGGCAGCTGGCTCGCCCCAGGGGAGCGGGGAGGGGAGTTCTGAGGAGACCCCCTGCCCCCCAGCAGGACCATGTGCCCCCCTACGAGTTGGATGCCCAAAAGCACGCACACCCGCAGCTCTCCTGAGTGGGCTCACCCAGCACCGCATGCCCTGGGCAGGATGACACCCCATCTCAAGGCGACTCAGGAATGACAGCAGCATGAAGCAGCTCTTCCACCACCTCCCCCAGCCTGGTGCTCTTGGGACGGGGGCACAGCCCACCCCACCGCCCCAGCCTGGCCCTCACCGCAGGTACTCCTTGTCAAGCCTCCTGCCAGCGCTCTCAGGGAAGGTCCGATACGAGGAGCTCGTCTTCCTCACAAGGGGCTCCCGTGCGCTGGGCTCCATGGCAGCGCCGTGGCTGGTGCCCGTCACCGTGCAAGTGCTGCTGTGCCCGGGGCCGGATGCTCGGGGCGGCCTTAGGGACGAGGAGGAGGAAGCAGCTGAAAGCGAAAGGGGAGAGGCTGCCCTGCATTGCCTAATCAGAGAAATCTGTACCTCATGGGTTCATGACCAACCAGCCTCCAGGGAGGAAACTGGGGGGGCCGGAAAACCAACAGGCACAGAGCCATGGGGAAATGGCAGTGCCCGGCAGCCTTCGCCGCGTGCCTGCCCAGCCCCTGTCCCCCCCACAGACACCAAAACCCATCACTGCGGTGGCACTTATGAGGATGATCCTTGTGGGACCATTCCCACCAGCAGAAACGTCCCTTTGCTAAGGCCATGTCTCTCCTCCCAAGGAACTGGTACCAGTCAGAATGGCCAAACGCTGCTTCTTTTTACAAGAGTAAATTGCAGCTGTGAGTGACCACAGCCACCCCGGGGAGGGGTTTTCAACATAGACCAGAGCTGAGGAAAAGGAAGGAGAGGAAACGAGGGAGATAAACGTGGAGGGGGCACAGGGAGCAGCTGAGAAGGATGAAGGGTGCTGATGAGGATAGAAAAGGGGAGGGTGGCATCTCTGCCTCATTGGGTGCAGCTGCTGGGGTCCTGGGCTGCCTATGGGTGCTTTTTCCCCCTCCCCCTGATCCCCAAACCTGCAGGGCTCAGTGGACAGTGTTGTGCTGGGGTGTCTGCAGGTCCTGGGGGCTGCAAGGTCTGAAATCACCATTTAGGAAAGGGGTGGGACAGAGCTACTAGCTTTGCACTTGGATTTAGACTTGACTTTGCTGGCTTTACACTTGCATTAGATCTAAGGGAGAAATTCTTCTCTCTGAGGGTGGTGAGGCACTGGAACAGGTTGCCCAGAGAAGTT